ATTCGACCAGAAGATGCATGTGACGGTGGTATCACCCCACCACTCCAACATAAACAGGTGACTCGGAGTGTCCTGCAGGTCAGCTATCCAAAGGGTACCCATAACTAGGGCTCTGAGGTATCAAGGTAACAACGCAGTGCCCGTGACCTGGCACGACCCCTCGGGTCCACAGGTGCACTAGGGGAAGAGCCTGGCTCTAGAGCTCAGAGTCTACACGACACAGCTAAAAGCACCTCTGCTTCTAAATCTCACCTTAAACGAGCAGGCTCCCTCTTGCCAGTCAGACTGTGCTTGGAGACAGCGTCTCTCCACCCTGCCTGCGTCTGAAATGCGCATTCGAGGGCCCCTTTCCAAGGAACACCTTGCCAAATGCAAATATTCCCGAAAAGGTAGTATTTAAAACATACGCTCAATAAACACCTACCAATCGCCTAATCGCTCGCCTAAGTGCAGCCCCCGCCAGCTCTGCCACAGCCTCGCAGGGAGGAGGGCCCAGCGGACAAGGGCTACGTGAACAAGGGCTACGCGTGCAGGTACAGACTGCGGCGGGCTGCGGGGTAAAAAGCACACGGCGATTTCAGAGAGGAACTTACTTTTGACAAGGTAACAGGGAAACCTGAAGGAGTTTCTTTTTAAGTGCTTAAGTGATGCACAGAATTGATCAAAAGAGTGGCTGAGCCAGAGAAATGAATGTCGTATTTGTCAATGTGGATACAGTTCTTAAAGCAAAGCAAGGGAATGAGACGGCCTGGGAGGCAAAGGGCCAAAGCCCGCTCTGAGGACGCCTTCTCATGGAGGCCAGCAGGGAGGAAGACGGTCACCACGCCGAGGGCTTTGGCAGGAACGTGACCGTCAGGGAGGAGCTGGTGGACGGGCCGAGCTTCCACAGAGCAGACAGGTGGTGCACTCTTGCAGGGCGGCAGGGCAGTGGCCGCAGGGTGAGGAAGAAGGGACCCTTTCCCGTGAGCACTGAGAACGAGCGGGGAAATGTTCCCATAATGGAGAGCAAAGCAAGCGAAGCATGAGAAGATGAGGAAGCACAGAATGTCAACCCAGGACAACCTGGAATGTCCCCTAGCAGCGCCAGTAACAGAACCCAGAGACAACAAAGGGGAGACGCATTTGTGGACACAGAGAATGAACAGAATATCTGAAAACATCCCAAGAGGAAAAAAAAAAGTCACCAAAAAAGGAACAAGAGTCACGCTAGCACCTAGAATTCCAGGGGACAGCCGGGGATGGCCAACACGGGGTGCTGCTCACCAGCCCTCCCACCACCGACAGCTCTCGAGCTGGACAAACTTCTGAGGCCACTGCAACCTCACGCTGGACAGTCCTCATCCCAGTTTTCCGCCTAGAGGCGCTGTGCAGGCCACAGCCCAGGGAGGGAGAGCCTAGAAGAGAGACTGTCTGAGATGACGAGACAGAGTCTGCAGGACAAGGCTGTCGTGGCAGCTAGGCCGACAGGGCAGAACACCAGAGAGCTGGCACTGTGCAGACAGGGCTCTGGAATCTGCAAGGCGTGCCCCCGAAGTCCTGGTTGAGGACTGAGCTCTACACGTCCAGGGCAAGACTCAGTGAAATCAGGCAAGACAAATGGGGAGCCCTGCTGACCTGCCACTGGGGCCTGCACAGGCATCCAAGCCAGCGGAGTGCCAGCGGCCAGAGTGCAGAGCCCTCATGAAGCATCTGGGACTCAGGTGACAGCCAAGCAGGCTTAGCCTTAGGAGCAGGGCCTCCAGCTCAGAGCGGAAGTTCCTACAGACCCACTGCACTAAAGCTTCAGGCAAGTCCAGAAAGGACCAGGTAGGAACAAAAGTCAGCACTCTTCATAGTATCCAAACCTTCTAGAGTAAGATCGTAAAACACCACACATGAGAATAACCAGAAACATGTGGGCCTGGACGAGGAGAAAAGTCAACAGACAAGGCCAGAGAAGGCACGGGTGGGATTAGTAGTACAAGGGACTTGGAAACAGCTACTGTGAATAAATTTAAGGATTTAAGGAAAACATAAAGACAAGGAAGAAAAAAATGGAAGATTTTAAAAAATGGCTGAGAAATACAATATCTGAAATGATAATTTCACTGGATGAGTTAAAGGCAGATTAGATGGTGTGGAAGAAAGGCTCACTAAACTTGAAAACAGCAACAGGAACTACCCAAATTGAAGCACATAGAGAGAAAAAATGCTTAAAACCAGCCTCGGCAGCCAAGGGACACCACGTGTGTAACTGGAGGCCCAGAGTGGGAAGTGGGAGAGATGGAGACAGAAAACAGTATTTGATGAAATAAATTTTTTTTTTTTTGAAATTTGATAGGAAATAGAAACTCGCAGATCTAAAAAGCTCAAGAATCCCAACAGGAACAAACACAGAGCAAGCCACTCCTGAGCTCAGCTTCAACAAATGCTGAAAACCAGTGATCAGGAGAAAATCTTACAGATGGCCTGAGAAAAACACCCATTACATGTGGGGAACAGCACGAAGGACCCCTGTCATCTCATGAGAGACAATACAAGCCAGAGAAAACATGATGACATCTTTAAAGTGCTGAACAAAAAAATACCTAAAATTCTATATCTAGCAAAACTACTTCTGAAATAAAGGTATTTTCAGGAAAAAAACTCAGGGAAATAAAACGAGCAGAAGAAATGTAAAAGCGAGTTCTTGAAATGAAGAAAGATAAAACTAAAGGAAACTTGAATCTACACACAAAAAATTGAGAACACTGGAAACGGAGCACATCAAAGACCTTTTCCCATTCACTAACTCCTTTAAAGGCAACGGACTGTTGAAAGTAAGGGTTGGTTGGAAAGTTGCAGCCATGGGCCAAACCTGCCCTGTTCGTTTTTATGTAGTCTGAAAGTTAATGATGCTTTTCATGTTCTTTTAAATGATTAGCAAATATCAAAAGAAGTTTCTGTGACACAGAAAGATTATTTAAAATTCAAATTTTGTGACATGGGAAAACTAGACAAAGCTTTATTAGCACACAGCCACACTCCATCACTGATGTACTGATAATGGCTACTTTTGTGCTATGGCAGCAGGGCTCAGTATTTGTCACAGAGACTGTGGGGGCCCTCAAAGCCTACAATATTTATTATGATCTGGCCCTTCACAGAAAAAGCTTGCCGACCCTTATTTTAAAGTAAAAATAAGAATTGTGTATTATGGGGTTTAAAATACATGCATAATCTCAGTAAGTTATATACTGTATCTTTCCGTTTGTTTAACAGTCTCAAAACAACCAAAAAACAGAGATAGAGTACAGACAAGTGGTCGTCAGGGGACAGGGCGGAGGGTAGGACACCAAGCGGCAGCTTGACGGAGGGTCTTTGTGGTGACGGGCCAGTTCTGTGTCTTGACATGAGTAAAACCGCACAGAACCACACACGAACACACTAAGGGGGTCTAAAAAATGGTGAGAACTAAATACTGTCTGCAGTCCAGTTAGGAGCCTTGCACCAATGCCGAGTCCCTGCTTCAGACTGTCCTTTACCGCAGAGTCTATCATCTTTAGGGAAACTGGGTGGTGTCTACGTGGAACTCATCGTAACATTGTTGCAACTCCTGTGAGTGTATAATTATTTCAAAATTTAAAAATGGTTTTAAAAATATACATAAGACACAAAGCAAAAGTAGCAAAAATGATAGAAACAAAGAACTCTGTTGTAGGTTTTTACATTACATATAACATAGTAAAACACTACATGAAGGTAGACTGTGATAATTTAGAGATGAGCATTATACACCCTAGAGCAACTACTAAGAAAAAAACAAGTAAATCTAATCATCCCAAAGACGATATAAAACAAAAACTAAAAACTATTCATTGATCCAAAATGAGTCAGAATAGGAGATAACAAAAAAACAGCGAAGAGAAAAATGGAAGACTTAAACCCAATCATGTCAATAATCACACTAAATGTAAATGGTCTAAATATTCCAATTAAAAGACAGAGACTTTTTAGTCAGCTGATATGCTGCTTGCTTTAAACATAAAGAAATAGTGTTAAGGTAAAAGGATAGAAAAAAGATACGCCATGCGAACATCCGTCGCAAAAAAAGCTGGAGCATGTACTAGTATCAGACAAAACCAACTTCGAGATAAGGAATGTTACCAGATTTTTCAGAAAAGAAAAATCTCATCATGTTAAAAGGGTCAGTACAGTAAGGACCATAATAATCCCCAATGCATATGCACCTAACAACAGAACTTCAAACATCTGAAGCGGAAACAGAACTGAACGCGCAAATAAAAACATCCACGATAACGTCTGAAGGTTTCCACACTCTTCTCACCTAAGCCCTCTCAAGTCAGACCACGACGGCACAGCCGGCCTGGCCCTGGCAAGCACGCCTGACCGACGAGGCGACCGAACGCATCGGCATCCGGTCTCTGCTGTGAAGTGCTCCTCTACGTCCCTGTCCCCCCAAACTACTCCTCACAGGGGGTCACAGGGCCAGGTACATTTTACACTTGCTGTTAAAGGTCCTCCAAGTCACCGCTCTCCCCATGGATGGTCCCCTCCCCGTGCTCTCACTGCTACTGCACAAAGCAAACAGACAGGGACACGCACAAACTTAACTACAAAAACCCTAATGGAAAATTTCGTTTATATTTTTAAAAAATGATGTACTAGATTTTATAAAATTATTTTATGAAAATCATTTTGAGGAAGAATAAGTAGATACCGTCTTCTAATAATAAACATACCCTATGCTTCTACAGGAGGAAAGAGTTTTCACCTTTTTTAAAAGGCACAAGTCCTTTCAGACGTAAAAGTTTAACACTTCACAGAAACAACACTCTCCTAACGACTGCTGACCTGCTGCCTGCTGATTACGTGATGTCCCGTGCATCTACCCTGTGTCCAGATGTCGGACTTAACAGGAAAACAAACTCTGTTGAACTCTGTCCGTGCCCTGAGAGAACACAGGTGACCTCAGCCGCCAGACCCCCAGGACCAGCCCCAGACCCTGTTACTCTGCTCACCTCCGCCGGCCCCCAGCAGCAGGGAGTAGACGCGCTGCCGCATGGGACGGTACACGAAGGCCTGGCTGGGCAGAGCCTGGTCCAGCGCGTCCTCCAGGGTGTTGCTGCATTCGATCTCCCCGCTGGTCATGACGCCGTACACCAGGTAGCTCTCAGCCTGGACGTGCTGCGCCCTAGCGACCTGTTCCAATGTAAACGTGTGGGGTTCTCCTCGAAAACAAACCTTCAGACAGAAAGAGCCGACCCCTTCCTATGGCACGCCCGTGTTCTGAAGGCGCTCAGAAAGGGACATCGGGCACTCACACTCGGGACATCAAGCTGGCTTCTGCGTTTCCTCTCCTTGGGCTCCTGGGCTCAAAGCTTTCCATCACTCCCGTGGTGCCGACTTCCACAGCGGCTCGCCATTCTGTCTACCCGAGATGCATGTGGCTTTGACAGGCTCCAACTGACTCCCAGCCCCAGTTTCTCCCCCCACTAAGCCATCCTGCCTCCTTGCAGACACAGACACAGTCACTGCCCACCTCAGAGCACGTTGAAGGCTGCCACGAGTTCGCCCTCACACTCAAGACCCCACTCTGCAAGGTCTCCACCTCCCCCCACACACGCCATCTCGCCTCACTGAAACTGCCACGGTCCAGTCACGATGGCACACTTCTCTGCTTCCCAGGAACGCCACCCTCCCCGGCCTCCACCATCTTCCGTAACACCCATCCCTCCCGACCTCCTGCTTCGCACGCCTCCTCCCCAGGGCTCTCCTCAGTGTCACCCTGTCCACGAGTCCTCTCTTCTCCCAGTCTGAATTCACCTCCCCTTGCCTCATGGGCTTGACTCACAGGGACACTACAGCAGCGATCTCGTCACATGTCCCCCACTAAACTATGACTCCTAGAGGACTCTGTCACACTCATGCATTTGTTCTCTAATTTTTTACCAAGTGAAGGCTGTGCTGAGCTCTCGTTTGCGTGTGCTTGGCACTGCTAGCAGTGCTGGCCGCAGCGGGTGATGCGACATACGACTTGAACTGATCCCACTACTAGTCAAACAAGTACTCAAAATCAGAAAGGCTACAGTACCCTATGTGCGAGGCTTATTGTTCTGTGAGGAGCATTCTTAGCACTGTAGAAATATATTCATCTAGATCACTATTCAAAATTTAAACCCACGCAGTCTAAGGACAACGAAAGATCTGTGGGTAATGAGTTTGGTTTTGAACTTGAAGTGCCTTTGAGACGTTCATGTGGACATGTGTCGTATCTGTAACACATGGGTTCAATGAGATAATACACGTAAGGCACGTAGCACAGAACCTCGCCCGTAAGTGATGAGTCAACAGTGGCCCTCCCATCAAACCCCGCAAGAGTTCTATACTCCTTCCAGTGTTAAATCCAAATTCCTGGTATGGTGTTCCACAATCTTCAAGATGTGGCTGCAGTCCACCTTCCCAAACTTTCCTTTCTTCTTCTCCCCTTAAACCCGACTCCAGCCTACTGTTCTACCAGTGTCCCAGGTGACAGATTCCAAACTCTACATCTTGTGTGTCGCCAGAGCCCCCAGTCTACGAAGTCAAAGCAAAAGTCAGGCCCGTTCAGGTCTGACTCCGGTTCTACCTCGGCTGAGGACCTCACTCTGTGCCTTAACACTACGATCTCTCCGCTTCAAATTCCTCGAGCTTTCTTCTATGCTAGTCATGTGACAGTTTCGAGTACAGTACATAGTGTAAGTTTTCATGGATCGTGTCACGCTTCCTAACTAAATACCTAGGGTCCTGTTTCTGTCCCCACAGTGCCTTAGCCACTGCTAGTAATCAATATTCACTGACAAGGCCCTCGATGGGTACGGATTCAATCATGACATGTTAGAAATGGGGAAGCATGTCTACATACCTTCAGGATTTCAGTGTCTGAAACCATGGTTACTTGTTGCTTCATTTCAGGCTCCATATTCATGGGGTCTTCTTGTTCAGTTTCAGGGTGTGTACACACGGGAGTTTCTTCCTTGGATTCAGGGTGCGTACACACCAGACTCTCTGGCTTGAACTCAGGGTCTGTACTCACGGATACTATCTGCTTGCCCAAAGTTGTTATACCTTTGGGTTTTTGGAAAATCCACGGAGATGTCTGTCCCGGCAAAAGATACGATGCCACCCCTTTATAAAAAAGAGCTTTGTTTTGTCCCAAAGGTAGCATCTCTTCTAGCTTCTTCTCACCCTGATGTAAGCGAAGAACTTTCGATATGTGGTCCGCTACAGCCAGGATGACGTTACCTCTCTTGTCAGAGTTTTTCCTCGCAGAGGTGTAGGACGACAGGCACTGGAACCGGAAGCTCTCGAACAGGCCTTCTGGGACCGTGTCATTGCCAAGCAGGCAGGCCAGCAGGGGCAGGTCCGCCAGGCTGAGCTCCAGACTCTCACAGAGCTTCTCCCTGCAGAGCATGACGGTGTCGAGGCTGTCCAGGCAGAGCTCGCTAATTGAAAAGTAGGGACAGGTGTCATAAATTAAGTAGTCAGTGTCTTCTCCAAGAATCCCAAGGCAGTTATGCTGGAGGCCGTAAGAAGCCACCTCATAGTCAGCCTCCTGTAGGGAACACAGAGTTTCCTGACCCAGGGTCTTCAAAGCAAACCGCGTAAATATGGCCAGCCCCGAGGGCAAGAAGAACATGTTCCTGCCCGGCTGCTCCCCGTGCGACTTGATGTAATGGAAAATCCGGGCTATCTCCTGATTGTTCTTGAGCCTCCGTCTCACCCACACGGCCCTCTTGCCCTGCTCCACCATGCCGTCGAAGAAGAATACCAGCTTGATGCCGACAGTCGTGAAGGCTGTAACAAAATCTCGCAAAGCAGCAAAGTACTCTCTCCACTGGCCGCCGCAAACCCAAGATTCGGGAGTGTACCAGTACCGGAGGCAACACATGGCATCCACCACGACAGTAGGCGCGCACCCAGGATGCTGGCTTCGGTGCAGCTCGGCCAGCTCCTTGAAGTTGACCGCCGTGCGTGTGTGTGGGCAGGCGCTTCCCACAAAGCCCTGCAACCCTCTCACTCCCATCACTGGGCTCCCAGAAAGGGTCTGGGGACAAAATGAGCAATTACGGCATCATCAGTAGACTTATGGCACCTTATGAAGCAAAGAGAAGACAACATTAAATATTCATTCTCTGTTTCCAGAAACTCTGGTCACCAACATATGTAACACGGTGTGCTGGTTAGGAGCCCGAAGAGTGTCCAGCGAGAACACCGAGAACTTTTCCCAGGTACAAGATGCTGGGGCTGGACCCACACGGGACAGCCTCGCATCACATCTTTTAAAACTTCCACTAAGACTATTATTCAAAAGATTTCTCAACTAAATTCAAAACCAGGTTAAGCAATACTTCTCATCTTGAAACTGAGAGAGAAGTTAACTTTGAAAACCTAAACTGATACTGATACATGCAACCCAGAGAAGCCAGACCAAACAGTACACACCGTATGACTCCATTTCTGTAAAATTCTAGTCCAGAGAGTTGAACTCGTGTGTAGCGACAGAAAGTCGCTCAGTGGCCACCTGCGTGGGGCTGGAGGGAGGGGTTCGCAAAGGGGAATCCTCTGAGGTGACGGGTATGCTCAAATGTGGTGATGGTTTCACGAGTGAACACATGCTAGACCTTGCTCAACTGTACACTGTAAGTATGTGTGGTTTACTCCACGTGAGGCACATTTCAGTAAAGGTGTTGAGGGGAAGACGGCAGCTGACTCTCGAACAAGGGGGTCAGGGGAGTCGACCACCCGCACAGCTGAAAATCCGCCTGCAGTGTCAGTCGGCTCCCCACATATTCAGATCCCCAACTCGAATCAAAGGCTACGGTACCTAACTCTCTATGCCGAACGTCTGTACTTCTAACATCTGAGATGGTGAATCCCTGACTCTGAACGGAAAACTGCCCACCGTAAAAGGTACAAATATACAGCATAGCTCAGCGTTGGAATTCGAAATTTGGAAAAAATCTAAGCAGAATACTTTATAGTAAGATGCCCTTACGTGTAAAAGATGTAATATAAGGCATTATTTGAATAGGTAAGAACAGCCGTCACAGAAAAAATTCTGTGACGACATCTTTTATCTTAATGGCCTATTCTTTTTGCTTTGGTTTTCTTTAGAGTCATCGGGGCTTAGTGTCCTTTGATAAAATGAAACAAAAAAAATCCTTAGTATGCAAAAAGCAACACGAGAACAAATGCTGCCTCTTGCAGGCTCAGGACTGAGGACAGTGGCCACCAGCTGCAGAAGCCGGCAGTCACGCCATTACAGTGAGCTCGCTCCGCCTGCACCTGCGGGCCACACGGAAAATCTCCACTCTTTAAAACAACCCTGACAGGTAAAACCCTTAAGCTCTCTTGCACAAATGGAGAAACTAAAATTACCAGGTTGAGAAAAGGCACCATCACAGGAACTGCCATTTAAGACTCTACTGGCTATTAATGGACACCGGCCCCTATCAGTAGAATTTGAAATGATCTGTTTAATAGCCATTAATAATAAAAAAAAATATATAGAAACTGAGTGGACATGAGTGGCACACGGTTACGTGGGCATTCATGTGCCGAACGCGCGAAGGCGCACGGAGCGATGGCCAGCGCATGGCGCCGGGGCCCGTCGGAGAGGGTGCCCGGGGTTCCCCGAA